GGGGGGGGGGGGGGGGAGTGGGGAAGCAAATGTTCCCAAAGCAAGACAAAGCATAGCAAGTAGAAACTGCTCACAGGCTGGCAATTCACTCTGTAACTTTCAAGGTTGTTTGTGACATAGGCTTGCAGCAGCACAGTGGAGAATGAGATCTATCTAGCAACCTTCCCACACTGCTCACCCGGGCCTGAGAGCCTGGCAGCTTGTCAGCTGCCAGGCTTAACCCTTACTGCAGACCTCCAGCTCTCCACAAAAAAGGCCAGTCCTGACTTCTGTAGACTATACTTTAATTAACAAAATAGCATTGAGATAGTAAATGATAATTAGCCCATTTAGATTAAGCTGGTCATCTCCAAACTGAATTCTTTTAAAACTCTAAGACAGAATGCCCCAGACATCCAGCGGCTCCCGGCAAAAGTTAACTCAAAATGGATGAAAGATCTAATTATAGGAACTGAAACAATAAATTGCATAGAAGAAAACATAGGTACTAAATTTATGGACCTTGGTCTTAGAGAGGATTTTATGAATTTGACCTCAAAGTCAAGGGAAGTAAAAGCAAAAATAAATGAATGAGACTATATCAAATTAAAAAGCTTTGCACAGCAAAAGAAACCATCAGCAAAACAAAAAGGCAACTGACCAAATGGGAGAAGAAATTTGCAAACAACACTTCTGATATGGAATTAACATCCAAAATATATGAAAAACTCATACAACTCAATACCCAAAAAAAACAAACAATCTAATTAAAAAATGGGCAGAGGACCAGAACAGACACTTGTGCCAAGAAGACATACAAACGGCCAAGAGATAATGTGAAAAGATGCTCAACTTCACTAGCTTCACAAGGGAAATGCAAATCAAAACCACCTCACACCTGTTAGAATGGCTGTTATCAACAAGACAAGTAATAACCAATGTTGGAGTGTTGTGGAGAAAAAGAAATCCTCATATACTGCTGGTGAGACTGTAAGTTGGTGCAGCCACTATGGATAACAGTATGGACGTTCCTCAAAAAATTAAGAATAGAATTACCATATGACCCAGCAACCCCTCTTCTGGGTATCTACCCCCCAAAAAATCTAAAAACATTTAACCCTAAAGATATATGCGCCTATGTTCATTGCAGCATTGCTCACAGTGGCCAAGACATGGAAACAAACAAAGTGTCCTTCCATAGATGATTGGATAAAGAAGCTGTGGTACATAATATATTGGGTTGTCGGAAAAGTCATGATGCATTTTTGCAATGAAAAACATAGAAAAATTATTTTGTGACTTTTCTGACAACCCAATACAATGGAATACTACTCAGCCATAAGAAAAGATAAAATACTTCCATTTACAACGATGTGGATGGATCTTGAGATTATCATGCTAAGCGAAATGAGTCAGAAAAAGTTGAGAACCATAGGATTTCACTCATATGTGGGATATAAAACTGAAAGCAACAAACAGACAAGACAAACAAACAAAAACCCATAGACACAGGCAACAGTTTAGCGGTTACCAGAGGAGTAAGGGGAGAAGGGGGAGGTAGAAGAGGGTAAAGGGGGTCAAATATATGGTGACAAAAAGAAATTGCCTGTGGGTGGTGAACACACAATGCAATGTATAGATGATTATAGATGTATTATAGAAACGTACACTTGAAACCTATATAATTTTACTAACCAATGTCACCCCAATAAATTTAATTAAAAAAAAAACAACTTTGAAGAAGAAGCAGTCATTTCAAATTTTTCAAAAGTTAGCTTAAATGTGTTTGCTTTTCAAAAGTTAGTTCATTAGTTACTCGTTGGTGTTGAGATATGAGTCCTTGTATTTTTCAGGAAATATGTCCATAGCTTTCATCAGATTTTAAAAAGGTGCTAGACTTAAAGTTTTAAATGGTAGGGTTTTTTTGGGGGGGGTTTTATTTTATTTATTTATTTTTTTTAAGCTGAGCCATCCTGCCACCTGTTGGCAGCTCAGCGGCTGCTCAGCTCTGGCTGGGCATTGAACCACTGTTGCTCAGAGCTCAAACCCTTTAGCGAGCTCTTAACCAACTGAGCCACTCGGCCGGCCCTTTAAAGTTTTAAAACTACTACCACACAGTGAAATCCTTTCAGAACCTGAATACGAGTAACTTAACCCTTTGTATGAGATTAATGTCCCCATCCCAAATTGTGTTTTATAGCCAACATTTTAAATAAATTCTAACCTATTTTCCTGCAGAGGAAGAAGGTCCATATACTAAAATCTTACTGATCTGCTTTTTTCTTTTTCTTCTTTTTGAAGGTTTCTTGTTCTCCACAAGGTCTGAAGGTTTGGGTCCAGGATACTTCATATTTGTGTAGTCGGGCCGGGCAGGTCCTCCCCGTCAATATTCAGATGAACGGCTGGATTCACGATGGAAACCTGCTCTGTCCATCATGTTGGGACTTCTGTGAACTCTGTCCTCCAGAAATAGATCCTCCAGCTCCTAATTTGACCCGAGCTCTGCCTCTAGGTGAGTAGTCTCTGGTTGGAGTAAAGAGAGGGACTTTTCTTATAAAATGTTAAAAATTCCCTTCAAGGAAATTCTAAAACAGGTTGAGCATCTTCTCTTTTAATTGCAGTTTTGTGTGAAAATCTCCTTCCCACCACTGAATTTTTTTTTCTGCAGGAGCAATATCTTTGAGGCTTGGCAATAGACCCCTCTCACCCATGTCCCCTCAGTTTTGAGTGCACAGATTATATCTCAGTCAGTCAGCCACTGACCTGGTTCAATACAGAGGAGCCTGTCCCCTATGTGCTACATATTCAGAGGGCACTAAGCCCTCCCAGATCTAGCTTTATGGTCTTCGGAGTACATTGCTAGAAATTGCTTGTTGAGGTCCTAAGATCCTGTACAAGGACACAGGTTCACAGGAGATACCTTAACAAGTATTAAGTGCCTCTGCCACTTTAATAAAAGCTCCCTATGGTGGTGTGGAGCCAGACTGTCCCTGTACTTTGGAAATATTTTCAGGTTGCAATGATGTGAACCCTAGGTAAATTTTATTTCTTCCATTAGTTCAGTGCCAGAGAGAGCCCTTTGTGCCAGATAAGGTCAGTGGAACCAAAAACGTATTTCCAAAGTCAAATATTGAGTCCTCAGGTCTATATGTTCTTTCCATGTTAAACACCTTCATTTTTTATAAACATCATAAAGTTCCTTAATCTGACCACTGCTCCAACATTCAGCAGTCAAAACCACATTGCCATGACAATCCCCTATGTTCCTTTATCTCTCCATCTTGGTTTCTTATTCCTACTGAGCCTCAGGACACCTTTCTCTCCCTCCTGAGAATCACTGTTATGGTGATCTACACCTTACCCAGCCAGTTTCTCCTCGATATTTCCAATCAGTCCAGCCCACAGCCCTGTTCGTGGAGCAACATTGACAGCTTTGATGTTCTATTTCTATCCCTGTAAGAAGGAAGCAGGGGGAGGGCTTAAGGGACAGTGCTTACAAAATCTACAGTAATACACAGTAATGTCCTTGGCCTTCACATTCACTCAGCACTCACTCACTGACCTGCCCAGAGCATCTTCCAGTCATGATAAGTGCCCTATACAGATGGACCATTTTTTATCTTTTAAACTATATTTTTTACTGTACCTTTTCTGTTTTGATATGTTTAGGTACGCAAATACTATTGTGTTACAATTGGCTATAGTATTCAGTACAGTAGCATGCTGTACAGGTTTGTAGCCTAGGAGAAATAGGTTTGTGTATGTGCACTCTGATGTTAGCACAGTGATGAAATTGCCTAATAATGCATTTCTCAGAATGTATCCCTGTCATTAAGTGATGCATGACTGTGTGAATATAAAGATCTTATGCAATGTTTGTTTTTTTCTCACCCGGAGGTATTTTTTAAATGGAACAATGTAGCCCTTTGCTTGTTCCATGGTCTGGTTGAAAATGGGGCTACATTCACTTGGCAACTCAAAGTTTCTATACCTCTAAGATTTGATTTCCTTTCTTTTTCAAATCCTGGGGGTTTTATCTAGACATGAGCCATAAGTAGAAGGTGAGTTTTGGGATATTAGTACTTGTGTTGGGGGTGCCCAAAACCATCCTTAGCTTTGGCGATTCTCTAGGACTCCTGGGACTCAGCCTCTAGTTGTACTTATGGCTAAGATTTGTTAAAATGAAAAGACACAAAGCAGAACCAGCAAAGGGAAAAGGGGCAGTGGGGCGAAGTCTGGAGGAAGCCAGTTTCCGGATACCAGCTAAAGGCCATCCTTGCAAGCAGGGCTTTGAAGGATGGCAGTCTCAGGTCTGCTATGTTAACTCTTTTCTGCACAGTACTCCAGTGAGTCAGCTGACGTTTCTGCAGTTATAATAGTAATGACACAATGAATTGTTTGAAATGATCTATGATCTTAGGTCCTTTTGATGTGCTACATAGTATATGTAGTGTTAACTACTCTTAGTTAACTTTTTCATGTGAAGTTGGTAGGATGACTTAATTTTGTTGTTAAATTGCTTTGGCTAGAATTAGAGGGCTGCTAGTCCAGAAATAGGTGGTTCTGATGGAGTTGCCATCCTCAGACCTAATCTTGAGTTAATTGTAAGAAACAATCAACATCTCATTGTCCAAGAGCTGGGCAAGGATTAAGCCATTAGCAGTTAGAGTTGAGATAGAGAGAGTTACTCCAGCTGGCACAGGGGTAAAAATCTTAGAAGTACAGTAGAAGAATGTGTAGGAATGTGAGGAAAGCCAGACAAGGGCAAAAGGCTAGGAAATGATTAGATCCTGTCCTTGGAGCGTGACAAAGACAAGTGAATCTGTGGAAATACAGTAGAGATTGCAAACCTCCCCTCCCACCCCCTCCACCAGTGCCTTAGGCTCTACTTCTACTTCTCGGCTCCCTCTCTATCAGTCACCCTTCTGATATTGTAGTGCTATGACGTGATTTCTTTCCCTGTTAGCCAGTTCTATGAGGAATCATGCTCAAAAAACATTGTAATCTGTAAATCATTACTACCATTCCGAAAAATGTATAAAATAGTACAAGAAAATAGATGTCTTTTAAGCATTACTTTTTAAACATTATAAGCATCACTATTGAAATTCTGAGCTATCTTGTCTTCCCATATTTGTTAATGTATGTGAATAGAGCACACACTAAATGCTTACTAAACTGTATGCCAGGAACTAGGGCCAACTTTACATATGATATTTCTTTTAGGTAAATCATTTGTTTCTTTTTAATACAGTTTTTATGGCCCACCAAACTTGCAAAAATAAGATTTGATGCTTTAAATTATGAGGTTCAGATAAAACCCAATCTGATCATCTACGATTTATTTTGAAACACCGTCTTTGAATCTTTTTAAAGAGCACTAGCACAGAAAGTACAGTGTTTTTGAAGGGTAACAGATATTCCAGAGTTGCCATTAATGTTTTAATAGCTTGTTAAGTATTAGTACCAAAAGTAGATAAACAACAGCTAGTTCTCCTCCTATTTCCTTTGGACCAAATTGAGAATCAGGAGATAAAGGGATATTCCTATGCTGTTAGACTCCAGGTTCCATTCCTTATTCCAGCCAAGACCACTCTACCTGATGCTCTAGGCCAGAACTTTCTGGGGTGATGGAAATGTTCTGTAATCTTCATTACCCAATACAATAGTCATTAGCCACTCATGACTGTTGAATGTGTGAAATGTGGCTAGTGTGACTGAGGAATACTAACAGGAATACTGAGCTGTATCTGTTACACATTGATCTCCAGAGCTCACTTTCTAATTAAATATTTTAATTTAATTCAATTTAAATATAATAGTACATATAACTAGTGGCTGCCATAGTTGGATAGAGCAGCCCTAGGTCAGAGTTTCTCAAACTTTTGCTTGCATCAGAACACAGGTTGCTGGGCCTCACCTCCAGTGTTTCTGATTCAGAAGATCTGGGTTAGAGCCTGAGAATTTGTAGTTTAAACAAGTTACCAGATGATGTTGATGTTTTTGATCCAAGGACCACACTTTGAGAATGTCTGTTCTTGGATAAGTGGGCTTTTCCTAAGATTTAACATTTACCAGCTGATTCCATTGGGAAAGAATAGAAGTTACCCCATGGTTTACCTGAATTGCATGCAGTGAAATGATTTCTAAAAATACCTGTACCACGCTGTATAGTGCTCAGGAGAGCCGGCTCCAGAACCTTGACATTATCATTCTATTCATTCTGTAGCTGAAGACCAACCCTATATTTCTTACCTTTTAAGCAAGTCATACTTGAAGCTTGGTTGGTTCTTTATTGGTCAAAAGATTAGAAAGGACAACTCCTAAGATAAAGTGTTCAGGTTGACCTAGTCTCTTCACTACTATAAAAATGTTTTTCATTCTGAGACTTGTTTTGGGAAATAGTTTTAGCAGTGAGAACAACTCATGGCTAAATTAAAATATCCTTCTAGTGCCCAAAGCCCACAGAATCTTATGCCGTTTCCAGAGCAAGTCTAGGGTGATATGGATAGATGGGTATCTATCTAGAGATCAGAACCATATTCCTGGTTTGCCTGGGACAGTTTATATGCCTTTTGTCCTGGTATAATTTTTAATAGTGATCGCTTGTGTTAAAATAATCAAAGAGAAAAATTTACCATATTTTGCCGTGTATAATGTGCACTCGTGGTTTTTGGCCCAAACTTTCAGGGAAAAAAATCTTTCATTTTAATTTTTAACTCAAATTTTTATTTGTTTACATTTAGGTACTTGTTTTTTGTATTATAAAAGAATTTTAGCATTTATTTTTTAACATATTATGGTACAAGAAATTATATGTAACAAGTAATTACAAAACACAAGAACAGATACAAGTCACAAGAAATTTTACATACCAATAAGTAACAAATTTATGATATTTACGCATCATAGATGGCCAAGAACTCTTTGATGTTGCAAGTTTGTCGTAAGTTCAACAAAATCGATTAACATATTCTAGGGTATTATTTTGCATATGTATATCGTTATTGATTTCTAGAGTTACTCTTTTTACTCATAAGCATAAGTAATTAAAAACATTTATATAATTACCCATGTATAATGTGCATCCTTATTTTTCCCTCACAGATTTGGGCCAAAAAAGTATGCATTATACACGGCAAAATGTAGTAATTGATCTAAGCAAATTTTATTTCATATGTCATGAAGTGGGCAGCCTCCACTCTCAAGAGTCGAGAGAACTGTAAAAATAAGGAAAAAGGGCTGCAAGCAGGAGAGAAGGAAGAAGCATTCGGCTTAAGTTGATTGGCTGGGGTTACATATCTGACCTTATTTCGAAAGATCAAGGAACAAGGAAATAAGTATGGAGCCCAAAGTTGGCTTGGTTGTTGGAGATTGTATGACTGGATATACTGTGTGTTTGGTCAAGCACACAGAAGTTATCTAAATTTCATTTTGCTGATGTGGCACCATGGGCAGGAGTGCTCCATCTTAGAACTAGAAATTTATTTCAATACTGCCATTTGTGGCAACATGAATGGATCTTGATATTATGATGGTATGCAAAATAAGTCAGACAGAAAAAGTCAAGAATCATATGACTTCACTCATATGTGGGATATAAAACTGATAGCAACAAAGGAACAGGACAAACAACCAAAAACTCATAGACACAGACAACAGTTTAGTGGTTACCAGAGGGTAAGAAGTGTGGGAGGTGGTGGAAGAGGGCAAAGGGGAGCCAAATATATGGTGATGGAAGGAGAACTGACTCTGGGTGGTGAACACACAATGTGATATATGATGTATTATAGAATTGTACACTTGCAACCTATATAGTTTTATATGTTACCCCCAATAAATTTAATACAAATAAATTAAAAGAAGACTTACATAGAATAAATATCAGAAAATAAAATTTCATTTTGAAACATTTTTTAAAAAAGAAATTTATGTCAACACTTATCTGAAAATGCCCTGATTTGGAGTGATAAATTATGTGGTCACCCCGAGGAAGGGACAAGGAAGAACATTCTCATGTCAGAGTATTAATTTACTTTCCTGTGTAGCATCTTTAAATTTGCTAGGATGCTACCCAAAGACACTTCTACTTCTTTCTCTTCCTGGGTGTCGTTTTTTAACCTTGATATGGTGAGGACATCTTCTTTTCTTCTGGCACAAATATTTTGTTCTTTTTCCATAAATGTAAAATAAATATGACTTTGCATATCTGGGTTTCAGGAGTCATTCTTGATTCTGCTCTCCAAGATGGTCCTTGTTTACATTTTAATAATCACCTGTCAATATTTGGTTGGTATGCTTTATTCCAAGAAGGTCTATAGGAAGTCAATTTTTTGTTTTCAACCCTAGATCTCTGTTCCCGTTCCTCTAGCCTGGTGGTCACCCTCTGGCTTCTACTAGGCAATCTATTTCCTGTGCTGGCTGGATTTCTTCTGTGTATATGGCACTAAGAATGGAAAAGTGAATTCTCAAGACATTCCTTTGTGTCATGTTCTTCTGAACAAAGCACAAAATCTGGGTGAGTGCCAGCCTATGCAGATGGCAGAAGTGGCATTCCTGACTTTGGCTTGGAAGTGTTGACTACAATTAGACCTTGAAGCAGAGCTTCACAGCAGTCACTCTTCATCAGCAGCCCAACAGCCTCAGAGCTTAGAGAAGGAGAAGAAATTCCAAGTCACCAAGTCTCTTTATTTTTCAGGATACATAACCTTCCTGAGGTTTTCCTTTGAAAATGGGATAATTGGTGAAATTTTCAGATTACATACCTCAGCATTTTCATTCACCTAAAACAATGGGGAAGTTCATCAATGCTGCAATAATTTAAAGAACACCTAACTATTGCAAGATTACAAGTTGTGGATCCTGTCCCCAGAAGTATAAATTGTCCTTCGACTTAGAGAAAACAATTGAATTGAGACTTCTATACCATTATTATACATATTTTGAATTTAATGACTGTACCTGTTACACTTAAATTATTGTTCTTGTTCTAAAAAGCCTTGTTTTAAATTATGTTTTGCTAAATCTTATGATTTAACCATGCTTGTCTTTTTCAAACTAGCTGTGTTGTACAATAGTTTGCTACTGAATCATTATGTGTTGGTAGCCCTCTTCCAGCTGTATCTGTTACTCATTGATCTCCAGAACTCACTTTCTAATTGTATTCTCCGTTAGTTTACTAATGACTTGAAAAACTTCGGAAGCAGAGAGAAAAAAATACTCTGCCCTGTAAAAACATTGAAGTCATGAAAAGAGAAGAAAACATAATTGTATGTTTTTCAGATAATAGTTATGACAACTGTAATCTAATGAAAAACAGAACTATTCCTCTTTGAGTAGTGAAGATGAACTTCTCGTATAGACAGGTATGCAGTTATTTTCACGTAGGCTTAGAAATTGTTTCAGAAGAACTTCTGTCTGAAAATTATTTTATATATAAGAAGAAAAATATAAGTCAAAACAAGATGGGCTGAATTATTTACTAATAACAAAGTGTAGGTTTGGTGTAGAGCCTGTCCAATAGGGTCCACTTTACTGCACAACATGTGACTTAGTTCACAGAAATTGAAAGATTGCCTTTGCTTTAAAAGGAGTTGAGGTCCTTTTACCTCCTGCTTTTGACTCTTCTTCAGTTACCACATAGATTCTGGTCCACAGAAGCAATTCTGCTCTGGTACCAGAGCTTACCAACCCCACTTTACTAATTAAATTCTTTACTGATAATTGATGCTCAGTTTTTCTCTCTAAAGCTTATCAAGTCCTATAGCATTATAAACACAGCCCTCAGAGAAGCGTTCATTCATTCATTCATTCATTCATTCATTCATTGGTTGGCCCTTTAATTCAGCGTATAGTTATTGAGCACTCCGTTTGAGAAATTGTGCTCAGTGAGAAGCAGCATAATTACTAAGGAATAATTTCAGCTGGCTGTTTGGCACTGAGGCCAGAGCAACCCTAGCATAAAGGAAAGTCACCTTTTTTTAACGCATAAATTTAAAATATGTATTTAAATATGCAGTTTTGAATTAAAGGTATTTGTCATTGTGAAAAGCTTAGGGTCTCTAGCATATTCACCTCCAACTAAAGGAAGATAACAGTAAAGATATCAGGCTAGTACTTAGTTTTCTGCCTATTTCATGTATACCATCAATTGTGCAAGATCAGAGAAAAGTATAAAGTATATTTTTAATTATAAAAATCTAAACTTACATACCTATTGTGATTATGAATCATCCTACAAAGTGTATAAAGAATTTCACCAAAAATACTATGGATTAATAATATATTTTAGATTTACAATGATAGGTTTGGTTATATTTTGACTGTTGTGCAGTAATGCCATTTAGGTAGTATTGTTTCTGAGCATGGTGCTTTTTATACTTGAAATATATTTTGCTTTATTTTTTATTGATATAATTATATTTGCACTAATGACTTTCTGGAGAAAATATTATAGATGACATTTTTTCTATATATATTTATTAAGCTTGGAATCTGGTAGCCCAGTGTTTTCTGTGCACAAATATGAAACTTGATAAAATATGATGTTAAGAAATCTTGAGTTTCTGAGGGTAACTAAATACTCTTGTGTCATCCCTCCTCTTCAACAAGTCTTGAAAGTGGTTGCTTACTTATCACTGATTCTGCGTAGTTTACTCAGTGAAGATTTAGAAGGCCACTGAACCTATAAGAAATTTTAAGAAGCATGTTTTAGTCACTTAGATTATGACAATATTCTAAAAACAAGATTTTTAAAATCTTTGATTTCAGTGCAGAATCAGTGGGCTAGAATTCAGCTTTGAACTGAAGAATTTGAAATGGCCTAAATGTCTGTATTCTGTGTTAGGTTTCTTCCTTCATGTTAGTAAAACCAGGTCACTGAGAAAGAGATTGAGCAGACTGCTGCCATGATGGAAGTGAGATGGGGTAGGGGAGTAGCTGACTTGGGAATAGTAGACTGGAGTCCCTTTCTAACTCAAAAAGGGTCAAGTGCTTATAAAAACTGACTACCTCAGTTTTCAGTTCAGACTTAGGTTCATTTTGATAGTATTAAGGTCCCGATTGTATTAAGTGAATTTGTCTCTCAGGTTTTGAAGAACAGAATTTAAAGGAAGGAAGCAAAAGCCATGTCAGTAGACTTGAGCTGACAGCTTTAAAGAAACTGGCAAGCAGTTAGGAAGTCTTAATGTAGATCCCGCTAATATGCTCCTGAAAAACATCCTTTTCCCTTATTTCTTAAGGATGCTTATTTTTGTTAAGACAAAATACACATTCTAAAAATGTTATAAATTATGCTTAAAATTAGTTTCAGCCAATTACGTTGGCTTAGAGTTTATCAATAGTTGAAGATGAAACATAAATTAATGAAGTTTAAATAGTTTTAGGAAGATACATGAATAAGTATACCAGAGTATTCTATCACATTTTATCAGTATTCTCCAATATGAGAAGACTCACAGATTGAGACTCTGTAAAATGCCTAGATGCTTTCTCAGACTCTTTCCAGCTCTAATACCCTGTGAGTCATACTCATCCAGAATTACGAGGTCACGGCTGGTGCTGAATCACCTCTTCGAGTGTGCCAGCTTGCACGTCCTGTTCATCGCAGTGTCTTGTGCTTGATGCCTTGTACTGTCCATGTTCTTGGACACTGAATGGAAAGAGAAGAGCCCGTCTCTGAGGGCATCTGAGCAGTCCTGGCGGGAGGTGGACTTCAGTCACAGCCCCACAAGCCCGTTCCATAATGGGCACCAGTCATCTGTGCGACATCCTTGCAGCCCAGGAGGACCACCGTATTTTAACAAAGCCTGGACTCCTCATTGAAGAAAGAACTTACCTGAACGAATGACTTGTTGGTTGGTTGGTTGGTTGGTTGGTTTTTGTTTAATACATTTAGTCAGAGTTGGAGAGGGAGTGATGAATTATTTTATGTTTACATTTTTAATAAATAAAATAGAAGATTTAAGATCTAATCTTTATTTATGGTATTGAACTTTAAGTGTAATATATATCCCTTAGAAAAAAACACAACTTTAATAAAAAGGGAGACTAATCTTTATATTGTCTTCCCTTAACACCGTCAGTATTTTAAAACCAAAATGAGGAACACAAACACAGCTATGCACTCTATTTGGGGAAGATGAGGTGTTTATTATGAAATGTAATTCCATTTTTATTTTAACTGGAGTAAAATTGTCCTACTTCAGGAATAGGGATAAGTCTGTAAAACTACAGGGAGTAGCCCTCCTTGAATAGTTAAGCAAACAAGAGAGCAGACTGAAATAATTCATGGCAGCCATCTCTGGCTGAAGATTATTCCAGCCACCTCTGGCTGAAGATTATTTTGTTTTGTTATAGGCCAGGAGTCTCATGGCATGACCTGCCTGGCACATTCCAGTACTACACTCTGTGCAGTAGTAGCAAGTAGATTGTGGAGCGGGATTCTTCCTCATAACCTGAAAGTTTGAGAGCATGTTCCTGGGACATGCCTTTACCATGTGCACTTGGAGCCATTCTGCCCTGTGGCATGGAACCAAACACTTGGTGAAATTGATTGAACATAGCCTATGTGACCTGATTGCAGAGCTGAAATCTTTGTGGGAAATTTTAATATTTAGATTTTTTTAAAACTTTAAATATTTCATATAAGTAGCTAAAACTATACACTACATTTCTTCCAGTAGTTGAGTAAGTCCAATATGATTTGCACAGTGTACTGAAGATAAACCCATCTACGTCTCGTATAGTACCTGTTCACGCTACCTTTGGCATGTTCATAGAATGTAGCTTATGTAGCAGATATTATTACATAAACTAGTATTCTGTCCACAACCTCTCCAGTAGATTGCCTGAAAAGGAGGGGGTTTATTTAAATCAGCTTTGTTAGTGTTCCACCAGCTGTTCATTCTTTAATGTTTAAAATAAACTGGACATATTTGGAGACAGTTGTTCAAATATGTGATCTGATATTCTAGTAGGTGACCAGTACCATTCCCATTTTATATGTATAGAAATGTTTTTTTCTGCCTATAGACACTATACCTTAGATTCAATGTCACTTTAACACTCAGTGCCACTAATAGTCAATTTTTCTATTTCAACAGAATAGTGACTCAGCAACTTTCTGACGTTATCTCATTTAAAAATATTCAAATCACAATATCTGAACATCTCCTCCCCTGCCCCATTAGGTCTCCTAATTACATTTCAAGAGGGCTACAGGTGGATTGAAAGAGATTTCACATGTGCTCACGCACGGATGTCTAAGTGTATGCAGTGAAGGTTTTGATGCATTTGGCTGAAGATAGGAAAATGTAAGTGAAGTCGCCACAAAGAATAGAGCAAAGGGTGCGTGCCTCAGCACAGCTCTCCAGCCCAGCCCCCCGAGTCTTGAATCTTAATTGAAGTTACATAAAATAGGTTATATCACTGTTTTAAAGTGATTTGGTTAGTTGTGAAGCTTTATGTTTGTTGCTAAGGAAATAAAATGTGTATGTAAAATCTGCATTTCTTACAATAGGTTTGACAAAGGAGTAAAGAGGGAGCCAGTAAGTGCCGTATAGGTGTTGAATAACCCTTAGGGATAATTATCATCACAACGGAGAGAAAAAAGAAGTGAAAGATCTGAGGAGAGTCAGTCCTTAGGCTGACTGAGGTGAGTGAGTCAGTGGCTCTGCCACCAGATCCCCTGCACCAGCCAGATCTTCACAGGCGGGGGTGTTTTCTCCCTTTTTCTCTAACTTATCCTCACGGACATCACAGCTGCCCTCCACCCCAGGCTGTGGTCACTCCTCCTGCTTCTACATCATCAGTTCAAAACAGTCCATTTTTCTCAAATAAGTAAGTATATATATGAATGATGGTATCACTGCCTAAGAGTGGTATCCCACCATCTTTTTTCAAGGGTTGACTTAGAGTCAAGGAGCCAGCAGCCCTCAATAATTTACTAATTTGTCAGAAACCAGAAACTTCCCTCCCTCTGCAGCCTGCTTTTGCTGTTTTATAATTTGCATTCCACCATTCAGTTTCCAGGTTGGGAATGACAGCGCCTGGTGTGGAAGCCCATGCATCATGGCCCAGGAGGCGTGGTGCCAGCAATGCAGATTGGAATCTTTTGAGCTGAGAAACCACAGTGGGTCAGCTCCAGGGTGGGCAGGCACTGGCCTGGGTGTGGCCCTCAGAGGCTAAAAATAAGCCGAGAGCATAGATGCAGAAACTATTAAGTCAAGAGGCAGAAACATAATGAAGGTGAGTCTTAAGTACTGGGGAAAATGAAAGCTTAGGAATTTGATACTAAGAAATTAGTCAAAGATGAGAGAGAGACAGAAAGCCAGAGGAACAAGAGTGTGCGTGCATAATGACCAGACCACACACTGCTCGATGGGAGGGGCCGCCTTTCATTTCTGACTCCCAGGTTTCAGCACACTGAGGGTGTCTTCTGACCCTTAGCACAGTGCAGGTGCTGGATCTAGTGACTTAACACTGAAAAGTATTTGTTGAGTATTTACTATATTCAATGTGTATCGAACACTGTATCCAGCACTGTATTGGGCCCATGGGAACACAAGTAACTAACAGACATGGTCCTTGTCCTGGAGCTGGTGAAGGAGGGGAACTATTAAACAAGCACACAGAGAGCATAGACTTGAGATCGATGGGATGAAATATATAGGATGCTTGTGAGAAATAGGGGAGAGAGCAAGGCTGAAGAGAAAAGAGACTGAGATGCCCAATCAAGTCAGATCCTGAGAAGATAGAAGCTGGGATCAGTGTGAGAATGGACCGCCCCATCCACTGGAAGGACGTGGAGGGAAGCAGGAACACATTTGTTAGGTTTGGTGGCTGGAAGCTGAGTTCCCGGCTTTGGAAAGGAAGTCATTGTCTGCCCTAAATAGGGTCTAAAACCTGAAGAGCATTGAGGTTTAAGCTTCTGCAAAGAGATGTGTTTTGGTGATGACTGTTCTGGGGCCATTTTTCCTAGAAGGCAGTATGCCTTTTCAGTCCATAGAGTCAAGTCTTCTTTTATTTCAAATAACTTTTTAAATTTGTATCTTTATAACTTTTCAGATTTCCTCTTTAGGAATGCCAATTATGTATATGCTTGTCTTCAATTACTAGCACTTCTCCTGTAATCCTTAAATTCTTTATTTCAGTGTCTTTCTCATTTCTACCCACTGTGTCCTTTATGGTGTTTTCAACAATGTCTATTGTCCCTAATGCTCATTTCATTTTTACTCTCTTTCCTATGGTTTTACTTTTCCATGGTGTATCTTTCCTAAGCCCACAGCTGCCCCTCAACATCTGTAAAGTTGATGATTGGACACTGCAATTCTGGGTATGGCTGCAGCTGCCTTCAAACACTTAGGTCTCTAGAACCTTGGTTGCTAATAGCAACAGAAGCAGAAAGATGAGTTCTGCATCATATCTGCCTTCTAAATATTGTGGGAATGCATCTGATTGGCAGAACCTAATTTACATCCAGGATCTTAGCTGCAAGGGAATGTCAGAAATGTAGCTTGAAGTTTTACACACTCTACACACAGAAGGATGGGGGAATGGAGGTTGAGTGAGCTAACCCACAGTATCCACCATAATCTTCTGTGTTGCAAGTTTGTCATTTGTTAGAAGTTTTAAAATTTTAAATAATTTCCTCTATGGTTTTTGTCCTTGGCATTATACTTGGCATTATACTTACCCCCATTATATATATTTTTTCACTTTAAAAGATTGTTTAAATTTTTTCTTTGGAAAATACTGAACACAACTAATAGAAATAATTCATAGTTCTAACACTCTTAAAGATGTAAAAGTGCTACCACTTCCTGACCCTCCATTTCCATACCTCTAGAGAGGTAACCTAGAGGGTCTCAGTTTGGTACATATCCTTTCAGACTGTACTATATACATACATAAATATAGCATTAGGTATACAATATTGAAAAATGGTATCACACCTCATGTATTTTTGGTATCTTGTATTTATTGCTTACAGGTGCAGCAGTCATCTTTCCAGGTCAGTAACCTTCGATTTACCTCATAGTTTATAATGATTTCATGAGTCTTCAGTATGGATATGGCATAATTTAGCCACTCAGCTACTGATGGACATTTGTGTTATTTCCAGTATAATTATTCACCTATATTTTATTCTGGTTATTTTAATTGTTATATTTTATCCTTTAATATAGCAGGAATTAATTTTGACTTTTGGCCTAAGGATTCTAACTCATTTTTTTCAGAAAGGATTGAGATAATATGATGTATGTAAAACAACTAGCACAGTGTCTGGCGTGTAATAACTATTCTTGGCACTATTGTGTTATCCCAATGATGATGATGATGGTATTGGTAGTAATGGCCTTTACCGTCTTGCTAAGCCATTGAAAATGAGACATGCGAGAAGAGAAACAGCATGAGTAATAAAGCGTACAATCGAAAATTACACACATGCAGCCATCCACATTCGTACCCCCTCAATTTGGGAATTTTGGTCTCTTTAGTGCATTTTAAAGAAGAATATAGGATGGTACATGAGGCATTATCAGATACTCCCAGAACACACAGTGTAGATGATAAGATTAATGTCCCTTCCCCATGGGGACACATGCTTCATTCATCACCCCTTCACCACTCAGTCCCTCTGGAATGATTCTGATGGAGTTAGCCCCTTTGCTTTCCTAGCCTTGGTATGTTTGTACTTTTCTTACCTCTGTGCAGTTTTGTGTGTTTGGATTTAGCTTTTCATGCATTCTGTCTTTTGAGCATGCATGCCTTCCACAGCTTCTCTCCCCACACCCCCAATTCCTTTCCTGTCTCATTCTTTCTTCTTGCAGGTCTCAGTCTGGGATCTTATTTTTCCCAACTACACTTATAAGCTTTTATTTTTAAATTTTTGCTCCCTTCTTTGTTGATTTGTATGTAACCAAACGATCCCTTAATGTAGTTCCATTTAGAAGTCTAGCACCC